ATTTACGAAATTATATTTGATTTATATGAGTTAATTTAGACGTAATGCAGGTTTTTTTTTATAGACATTTATTTCCTTGCGTTGACAATTTAAATGTGCTGCATTATTTTGCTCATTGCGCCCTCCTGTGGCCTCGGGAGACAAGCCAAAAGTTTCATTAAGACCTATTTAATCTGCATATAAAACATTAGAAATTAGATATTATTTATTTATTAATTTTTATTGTGTGTTTGAAAATATTTGTTGTTTGTCTCAATAAATTAGGTTAATTAAAAAATACAGTGGTTAAATTTAAGCATTTTTTTCTATTGCTCCGTTTTAAAAAAGGTTATAAAATATTTTAATCAATAATTATCGATACTGAACGATATGAAACATTATATAGTTTATACATTTTTTAGCTATATCGCCCAGCCCTACGTGAAACACTCTAAATTTAGCACACAAAAGTGAGTTTCTATGCCTCTGAACAGAAAAGCAAAAACTCTTTTCAAAAAGGTTTCTTAAAGGGGTCATATGATGCGATTTCAATTTTTCCTTTCTCTTTGGAGTGTTACAAGCTCTTGGTGCATAAAGAAGATCTGTAAAGTTGCAAACACTAAAGTCTCAAAACCAAAGAGATATTCTTTATAAAAGTTAAGAGTTAACCACACCCTCCTAAAACGGCTCGTTTCCGTCTGCCACTGGCTGAATAAATGGATATCGCCGCCTAAAACTCACGTTGTTGGTTGGACATTTGTTGCTATGCCAAGCTGTTTGGGATGCTAAAACAGAGAAATGTTAAAGGAATAGTTTCTCAAAATCTGTTCCGATGAAGAAATAAAATAATCTACATCTTTGGTGGCTTGAGGGCGAGTACATTTTAAGCAAAATTTCAATTTTGGGTGAACTATTCCTTTGAACACTACTCATGGGAATGAACCAACAAATTACATCTTAAATACAAATTACATGTATGTCCTTAAAGGGGTCATCAGTTGATATGATTCTTTAGGGTCTTAATGAAAAGTCTGTAACATAGTTTGGCTAAAATTTCTCAATGGTAGTGTAAAAAACACCTTTTTTACCCTGTCAAATACAGCTCTTTTCAGAGTAAGCCGTTTTGTAGCATTTTCCTTTAAATGTTAATGAGCTCTGCTGACCCCGCCCCTCTCTTCCAAGCTGCTCTC